ATGATCAACACACTTAAGAATTTTTCTTAGTTTAAAATTTATAATTCCAAATTTGTATCCCAGAGTTCCAGATGAAAATAAACATCATATTCCCTGTGTGAATAGAAATTCTAATTCTTAATTACTTTTAATTTTCTTAAGTTTGTTGCATTGGTAGGACTGCTGAAGTTTTTTATCATTTAGGGTTATGGATTATTTTCAAGTGTTTTCGTGTCTCCATCCACAACAAACAAAAACCTTAGCATTTGTTTAGGACCATCTATCTGAATTGCCTCATTTTCCTGAGAAGTTTCTACATGTTAAATTTGAAGGATTAATTTTTATTTTCTTTATAACTGAAAGCATGCAAAATCTCATGTGTTTTTTTTTTGTGTGAACTGTACGTTTCTTTATTTTAGTTAATTTTCAAAAAGCAGCAAGTTGTCCAGAAAATAGAAACAGCTTTATTTTTCATCCTCAAGACACAATGGTAAAGATTGAAGAGCAGTTCTGCGCTCTGACTGTGAAGCACTTTGACACACATGATTCTACTTTTAGAATTTGGGGCATCCTCTGTGGTATAGAAATACTCAGACGTTTAAGTGTTTGCAAGCCTACTCATAGGTTTTCCCAGGTTTATTTATAAAGTAGCAATGGATCTCTTTATTTTGTGTTTGTGGCCAAAAGAAGCAGTAACATCTCTGGCCCTGATGCTCATTTACTTTAATGTTTCCTCAGCCGGCTCTGGCAGCAGAAGGCAGCCTTAAAGTAGGTGTGAATTACATCCTATCCCACTTGAAGTTTAAAAATAAATCAAAGAAGGGCGGCTGGCAGCATTTTGTAAGGCTCCTTGCCTTACTCACCCTTCACCTCCCACTAGGAACTGTTCTTTTTTTTTGCAATTTAGGATTGGCTTGCAGTGGAGCTGACTAATGTCTGCGCTCTTTGCTAGAGGACCCCCTCAGAGAGCTTTACTCCATCTGAACAAGACCACATCCTGTTACTTTCAGCGCAGGCGTGAAGAACCTGCCTCTGGTGAAACTGTAAAAAGGAGGAAGACCTATTCTGGTGCTACACTGGCTGCTTTGTCTGAAGCCCTACTAGGTGGGGGGTGTGGGGTCTGTCCAATATGCCAAAGGGTAGGGAGCACCTGGGAGAGGATGGCAGCTGTGCAAAGTTACTGAGCTCTTCTCCCAGCAGAGGAGCCCAGATGCGGACACGAGGCTGAGAGGATTACTTCCTCTGCCTCTCCCCAGCTCAAGCAGAGACGCAGAGTGCAGCTGGATGCAAAGAGCCAATAGGTGTGGCACCACCCTAGATAAAAAGCCAAATGCACTGTCAGCAGAAAGGGACCCTCCTTTCTTCCTTTCTCTGAGCTGTGTGCACCAAAGGACCTGTGTACAACCTGCCTGCAGGTGCAACCCTGCCCACAGCACCAGTGCCCTGGCCTTGGGCACCTCCAGGGAAAGGGCATCCACAGCTTTTCTGGGCAGCTTGTGCCAGGGCTTTGCCACCCTCTAAGTAAAGAATTTCTTTTTAACGTCTAACCCAAATTTTGCCTCTTTTAGTTTAAAGCCATTCCTCTCTGTCCTGTTGCTATTTCCCCTGTAAGAGATTGGTCCCCTTCCTGCTTCAAAGCTCCCTTCAAGTATTGGAAGGCTGCAGTGAGGTTTCCCTGAAGCCTTCCTCCAAGCTAAGTAAGCCTAGCTCCCTCAACCTTCCTTGATAGGAGATGTGCTTCAGTTAGAGTCTTTTTGTCCGTAAAAACATTAAGTTTTCAGGATTTTAACGCAGGTTCTTCTGTTTATGTAATAGGAGTTTTGTTTACTTACACACAAGCACATGAAGCATGTGCTGGGGAGTTCTGCTTAAAGAGATTGTGCCTTGACGCGCACTAACTTTTAACATATCCTAGACCTTAGCTGTCTGCTCTTGAATTGCTTGTTTCTTCCAAGTGAAGTGTTTTCACTTTGTTCTGCTTTTTCTTAGAGGACATCAACAAACATTAACTTTTTAGAAGAGTGCGACCATGGTTCACTGCAGGAGGTCCAAAGTCATAACTGCAGCAGTGACAAAGCTGCTCCTGGGCCTCCAAATTTGACCTTACACCTTGTTCTCCTTGGGGTTTAAGATGTTTGTGGTTGTCGGGTTTATTTTTTTGTAGCCTGGTTTCTTTCAAAGTTATTCTGTTTACTCTTGTTGAACACAAAATATAATAGTCCCATGTTTCAATCTTAGGGCCTGAATGCCTTCAGGCTTTCAGGAGAAAACATGATTAGCTCATCCAGTTTAGGAGTATTTCTTTGAGACGCTGTCATCTCAACTAAAACCTTTCTTTTAAGCAGCAGCTGTACTCTTGTCTGCCAACTGATAGTGAGACATAAAAGAGAACCAAATGAGTTAGCCAAGCTGCCCATCTGCTGGCAGGATGTGCTGGTGGGATCTTTTTGCAAGGTACCTGGCCAAGGCTAGAACTGCTCAAACACTATTGATAGATCATAAGCCTTTTGGGTAAGTCAGCAGGAACAAGACAGTGGCCAAATTAAGGGAAGGCAAAAGAAGTATTCATGTGCATTTTAGTACTTTTTATGTGCTTTAATTCTTCCACTTGGATTATCTGAGGCTATCCTCTATATATTATCTTAAAAAAGGCTTCTTAATGGATGCACTTTAAGATGAGAGAAAAGCATTTCCTGTTTAAACCCAGACCAACTTGCTCACTTTGGTGATCATCAGACTTTCATACTGCTTGGCATGGTTTTGGTGGGCTGAACATCCTTATTAATTTTAAAGATATTCTTAGATTTCAGCCTCCAAGTTTCCAGAGACATGTTTTAGAATCCAAGTGTGAGCAAACAGTTTGGACTTTGTTAACCAGAGATTGGCTCAGATGTATTTGAGAACTGTGGGACGTTTAGAGAAAAGTAAATTAATTTATCAACATGCCCACTCATACTGGAGTATGAGTTTGTTTGCTGAGTTCTCTTTTGTCCCTTCAGTTTGTCTAAGATCTCTCTGTAAGTTTATGCCTTGCTGTTTGGGAGGACTTCTTTAGTGTTTTGGTGCCACCTATTGAATTCTTATTAACTGCATCCTATTCCATTGCCATGATAAATAACAGCATTGAATCACAGAACAGGAGATTTATAAACCGCTTAGAATGACACAAAATTGCCACGCAGTTCTTTAAAATGCCAGTGCTTATTCCAAGGTAAAAAGGGTAATCTAGGACTGTTATTTTCCAGACTTCTTTAAGAAATGATCTTCTCTAGCTGACCCTGGTGTAGGTCAGATTGGACAAGACAATCTCCTCTGTCATCTCCCTCCAAACTTCGTCAGTTCTTTGTGTGTAATATGTAGCATCTGTCACCATGAGCAAGCAAGAAACTGTATTTACAGTAGTATCATCGTTCCTAACTTTACAAGGGAAAGAATGAAGAAAATGGCTTTCACAGGATCTGTAAGGAAATCAGTGAGACAGCCTGAATTACAACACTGTGACAACATTTTTGCTCATATTACTCAATTTTAATCAGAAGAGGGAATCTTTAATTATACATTTTTGCCTTCATCGCGTTTCCATTAAATACCTAGAAAATATTTTGAATTGTTTCATTAGCCACTTTGTGATACTTCAACTCCTTTTATTATTACTATTTTTTAAACTGAAAGTCAATCTGTACAGATGCTTACAGAAAGTAAATTTTAGGCATGAAGTATACTTAATGCACTGAAGCAAGGCAAGACTTGGGAAGAAGGGGGAATAATTGATTCTTCTGATGATAAGCTGATTGAAGAAAGCAAATCACACCATGACACTGAAAGTGACTAACTGCCAGCTTTCAAACACTGGATTTAAAAAATATGAAGTTACTTGGAGGCTGAATAGATTATGGCAAATATGATTATATGTTAGCATTACATGGTTCTTTGGCAACTTAACTATATTGCTAGATTATACAATTGCTGTTAACAAAGTTTCCAGTCCTTACCTGAGATTTCAGATGCTAAAGTTGTGTTGATGGTTCAAAAGATCATCTACATTTTTGTTTCTTAACTCTAACAGAAATATAACGGAGAACAACTAGTAGCAAAAGGGCAAGAAAAGAAAAAAAAAAAAAAACAAGTGACAGAAGAGAAGTGACAGTTTGTGGACAGTTACAGCAAGAAGCATGTGAACAAGTGGAAGCTTGCTAGATATTGGAAGCATGGCAATTGTGTTAGAGAGAGATTTCTTCAGGAATTGAGCAGGGCTTTTATGTTTCTTAATTCAAAGTGGAGCCTTCTAATCCTCAATGTGAGTAAAAGATACAGTGATGAGGACAAACTTTTGTTTTATGGTGGATGCTCCTGCAAGTTGTTGTTCTCACAGTCCCAGGCATTGTCATTTATTTTTGTCTTTGTCCTGATATTGCATTACACAAATCTAGAATGGTTTTGGTCAAAGTTTCAAAGCGAAGTGTTAAGCTGAGGTTTATTTTCATAGCTATGAAAAAGTCACAGCTTCCAGCTGAAATCAGGGAGTGGTTTATAAGAGGTTAACTTAGTGCTTTCAGGAGAGTTTCTTAAATATCAGCAGGGTGGTCCAGGAAAAGTGCTGGGATATAGGAATGAGTATTAGTAAAATTAAAGGGCTTTTAGTAATACTGAGTCAAGTATTTCTAGCTTTCATGTAGTTGGGGGTTATATACCAGTAAGGTTTTCCTTGAGAAAAGAAGTAAACTTGGTGTTTTTCTTGCTAATAAATTCATTCTTCTTTCACTCAAGTCTAGCTCCATTTGTTGGTATTACTCAGACACACTGCTTTGTGATGAACTGAAAGATTTTGAATGTTTTAGTTTTTGTTATTGCAAAATACACTGAAAACTATGATGATGCCATTTCAGTACTGTCCAGTATCTTCTGTCCTAAGAAACGTTACTTAGAGAAAGCCATACAAACTTCCAGTCTTTTTCTAATGTAGATGAGCTTCTCACCTTCATGCATTTCTCACTTGATGATATCTTTTTCTCACTGTGCAGAAGGAAATGATAATCTGACCTCTGCCAGCTCTCTCTCCTCTACGTTACCTACACCTACACGCTCCACATCATTCTCACCTCCAAGCACCGCTGCAGGTAACCGTGAAATTGGGACCGTGGCTCTGCTGCTCTTCTGTTTCAGCTGAGCTGGCATCCATCACAGCCTTCCTTGAAGCTATGACCATCCCTTAGGCTGCTTGGCACAGGCTCCCTCAAGACTCAGGAAAATGGAACTTTAATGTGAAAGTATCAGTTCATACACTATATGCTTGATGTTTTGGGATCCTTGTTGTTGCTACATGTCTTTAAATGTTACTTTAGAATAAATAATTCCCCAGGGAGAGCTCAGCTGATAGGAGAAATTATTCTTTTTTATTATTATTTTTGTTGTTGACTATGTATCATTTGTTGAAAGTGTGATTTACATTTTTTTTTCTCTCTTTCTCTTCTTAAGGAGTTCAGCCAGCAGCAACAGGTAAGAAATGTTTAATTTAAATTACGGAACATTGTTGACACTTTTTAGTTATGGTTTCTTCTTCCTTTTTCCTGCTCACTGTCATCTTGTGTAATGTCTTTTCATTCAGCCCGGTGAAATGAAATATGCTTTTTTAAGAGGGTAGAATATCAAACAAGATGTACTTGAGAATATTTAAACTCAGCATGTATTATGGAAGATGTGCAACCAGTGCCATAATGGATTACGTTTGCAGGATATTCTCTTGCCTCCTGTTCCCCCCAGCACCGTGAGCCTTGCACATACATGGTATCTTTGATTCCTACCAAGTTCACATTGCCTCAGCAGAGCTGTGTGAGCTTTGTGTCTCTCCTCGAGTTAATGTCTCCAAAGCAATTGACGCTGTGCCTCTCACCACAGGTGCCTCTCCCGCAGCCAGCACACACCTCTCCACGCACACAGGCTCCGGTCCGACCACGGGACTCAGCCACTCGCAGCATAGCAGCCCTGTTGCCCTCACCACACACACTCTCACTGCCTTTCATCAGCCTGCATCAGGTTTGCTTACTTCTTTCAGGTGCCATGCAATGCCCTCGCAGCTGTAGGGAAAAACAGAGTTATTTGACCTCAGGGTAACTTTTTCCACCTTGTGGTTTATCAGATAGAACAGGCACTTGCAATTCAGCATAGGGGCAAGAGCCCAATAGTATTTGGGATCTGGTATCTGATGGAAAAGTCTTGCAGTCATCTCAGTAGTATCGTAACTCTGGTGAATGAGGCTGCTGTCAAAGCAAGAACCACACAAATGGACCTATGAGAAAGGAAGAACTTGTCACTGGTTCGTAAGCAATGGGGTAAATGCTAACAGTAAGTAACATCATGAGCAATGTATCTTATCTGCCAGATAAACCCAACTGGATTATTGTTTCTGAAGGAGCATGAGCACTATTCATAGTTGTGTATTATTGTAAGTACACAGCGCTGTGCTTTAGTTCCTTGTTCACAAACATTAAAGCAGTTTTTATTGTACTGTATTCTATTGACTCTATCCTGGATTATGCACTTAAAAAAACAAAACAAAACAAAAAAAAAAAACAGAAAGAATGACCTCCTCCTGGGGCAAAATTCATTTTTAAATGATATATTCCTAAAAGTCTGCTTTCTTTTACTGGATAAATTAGCATGATCCTTCTTTCAGCACTTTTCTCTAACTTAGAAAAACCCTGGATTTACAAAAAATAAAGGGGGAGGAGGGAGTATAGTGTATGATATTTACTGGTGACATAGCCACATGCAATAGTCAATTTTACTTCTTAAATGCTGATGTGTTGTTTATTCCCTTACAGATTATTACAGTTCAGTATCCTTGCACAGCACCACATCACCAGTCACCACGCCAGCAAGCACTGAGACCATCCCCACTAGCACAATAGGTGACAAACTTGCACACAGCTGTCACAATTATGATACTGCAAGCACAGAAAATGTGTTAGAGAGAAATAATCCTGATTTATTTAAAATCAAACTTTAAAAATACAACTGCATTAAACTTCTCGGGTTTTTTTGTTTGTTTGTTTTTTAAGCAATATTATTAATAGCACAAGACATGAGATATACTATTTGCTGAGTGAATGAAGAATAGCAGGGGCACTGCTCAGCCGTGTGGCTCCAGTGCTGGAGGGACACAACCCCAGGGCCTTTCTTCAGATTTCAGTCTCTTTGGATAATACTTTTACCTTAGTGCATTTTAAATAATTGGTTGCAGGATGAAATTCTTTGTTTGAGCTTCTGTACAGATTTCATATACACTGGTTCTTAATTCCTTTTATGGATATTCCAGTATTAAAGTAATTGTAAATTAGTGTGTAATGTTGAATGAATCTGTTTTCAGAAAGAGTAGCTATGCATAAAGTAGGTAAATTGTCTTTCTTTAGTGATATTAGAAACTGTCAGTTGGGCATTACATAGCATATGTATTTTGGGACGCTGTTATAACTCATTATATCACAGAGAATGAGTGAATTTGGAATATTCTGGTATAACTTTGCATGGAGTAATGTTATGAAGAAGCAGTTTGACACCATTTGAAGATGGTGAAGCATGCATCTTTGAAAGAACTGGCTAAGAGAAGTGTGTAGGTAGTTGATATTTTCTTCCCTTTTTTAGATGTGAGTAGGCTTACAATATTTGTAATGTATTGAAGAGTTTTGAGCATTATCAGTTGCACTCCTCTAACGCTCTGTGAGAAGCATACCTTCATTTTTTTTTTTTCTCTTTTCTTACAGAAAGTACTACAACAGCAAAAGAATCTTGTGGTAAGAAAGAAGCCCCTTATTCATCTCAGCCCTACTGGTTGAGCAAATCGGTAAACTCACAGAAAGCTGATCACAAAAACAAATTAGTGACCATCTGAGCTGTCTCGTGTTTCTGGAAGATGGGCACTAAAGTTATTGACTCTTCTGGCCTTCTCATCTCCATTTGCAGAGCTGCTGAACTGCCCTTGTGCTGGGCTGTTCAGGGCTATGGAAGAACCTGCGTTCATCTCATGAGGCCCTCTCTAATTTTCCCCCATCACGCCGATAATCACATGCTGCAAAACACAATTTGTAGCCATAGTAAATCCAAAGCTTGGATGTTGATTTCTCTCTTTTTGAAATAACTCCACTCTCTGATTTTCAGGAATGGCTTTTGATATTTACTAGATAGCTACGAAATGTTTTGAACAAGAAGATTTTAAATTTATCTTCAAGCAATTGATTCAATGTGTCAAAATAAAATATTTATCTTTCAATTGGTGCTTTAAGTAATAAAAAAAAAAAGTTGTTCTGGAATGTTAATCTTTTAAATTCTTTAGGTTTCCTTACTAGAGAACAATTTAAAAGAGTATTTTCCTAAGTAAATTTTCTGTTTCAACTAAACTGTTTTTAAGGTAGAAGTTATATAAAAATAAAAATGAAGTATAAAAAAGCAACTAATTTTCCTATATTTTCTAGTTCTTAAAACAAGTATGATGCTGTGGAGAGCCAAAAAAGCATTTAATACTTCTTAAAAATTGTCATAAAATTATGGTTGACTATTTTTTCCTTCTCTTTTAGATAACGATATTGATGACGTGACTATAGTAGACAAGAATAACTTAGCTGAAGTTACGCTAAAGAATCTCAAAGGAAACAGAACCTATTATATTTTGGGGAAAGGTGGGGAGAGCTCACAAGTGAGTGCCAGCAACAACACAGCAGTGCTTAAGCGGTGCAAAAGATATACAGTTAGATCTGATAATTGCAACGACATGTATCTTACTATTCCACCTGGTAGGTATATATGGGTTTTAGTAGTTTCTTTTTATTTTTTTTTTGTTTATGTATTTATTTATTTTTGGCATATGGTAGTTCAGCTGTACTGGTCTTTCTTATCTATTGTTGCCTTTTCAGGGACTCTGACAGAGGTTTTCATGTAAAAAATGTACTTTTCTTATTGTAAATGTAAAAAATGAACTTCATCTGTGTTGGCCACATACAGCATGGCTAGCAGTAACAGGGCCACTGAGTATTTGAAAACTATTACTTATGCTTGAGGTTTTGTTCATTAATGATATTATTTTCGGTGGATTAAAAGTCATTTTTTATTTGAATGCCAACATTGTCTTTTATTTCATGAACACCTTTTAATTTTCAATTTCAGCTTCTAAATTCTTTGTATGTTATTCTGTGCTAATTGAATCTTCATGTTGCAAAACAAATAAATATAAAATAACAAATCAATATATGTAACTATTATGACAGTGATATTTAATTTTAATCTTTTCTAGATGAAAAAAGGTACACTTTTAATAACTCATGCATTGGAAACAACTCTGCAACACTGCCTTTACATTCTTTATGTAGAGATTGTGAAGATGGCTGTCCCAATGTGACTGCTAGCTGCAAAACAAGTAAGATACATCTAACATATTTTAAATGCTGATCGTTTTTTATTATTTCTTAAGCAATGTAGATGTTTTGGGATGAGTCTGGCAGATTTAAATTATTTGTATTAGTGTGAGGGAAGAGTTGTTCAGAATTTCTGAGGTCAGAGGGCCAGAGACTGCCCTCTGGGGTTTGCGTGCCCTGCAGGACATGTGGGGAGAGTTCAAGCCCAGAAAGCTCACTTGCTGAGATTCCCAGCTTCACACATTGCAGACATAAGGAGCTTTTGAGCTCCTGCTTGATTGCCTGAAGGAAAAGTGAGAGCTTAGAGACTTGAGTGTCTGCTGTGAGCTGCTTCCTTGCAAATTGCCTAGGCAGTTGGCTCTGCAGGCTCCTGTATAGTGAGAGTTGAGGCACTCTGGTCTTGGAGTTTGCCAGCTTTGGAGTCTGAGGAAACATTGGTTCAATGGCAACTGATGTTATGCAGAAGATATGCTGGATATATCCTCACGTTCCAGAAAAATGTATGATGAATGTTCTCTTCAGTGTTTTTATCAGTGATCTGGACACAAGCATTGAGTGCAGGCTGAGTTTGCAGATGGTACTAAATAGGGAAGAGCTGTTGCTTCTCATAATGGTAGAGCTGCCTTGCACAGAGATCTTGATAGAATAGAGTGCTGGGCAGTCACTAACTGTGAAATTTAACAAGAGCAAATGCTGGATTCTGCACTGTGTAATCTTGCAAGCTCATACAGTCTGGGGAACAAATTGCTGCAGCACAGCCCTGCACACAGAGATCTGGGGGTTTTAGTTGATGGTAAAAGTTCTCCTCAGATAAGATAGCCAAGCACTGCAACAGTTCCCCAGGGAAATGGTCGTGTTCCCAAGTCTGCTGGTGTTCAAGAAGTGTTTCAGCAGTGCTCTGATATATATGGTTTTTTATTTTGCACTGGAATTGAACTCCATGATCCTCTCAGTCCCTTCCAATTCAGAATAAGGTCTATGATTTCAGTGTCCTGGGATTGAGGTTTTCCACTTGAGGGAGCTGAAGATGGTGATGGGTGAGCTTCTAAGAAGCTGCGACTCTTCAGGTTTCTGCCATGAATTGCTTTATTTCTATAAACTGTTGGAAAGTCAAAGCAAGGGAGTGTTAGTGATGAAAAGTAAAGATCTATGGAAACTGAATTGATATAAAAGCACACAGAACTCAGTCTATGTGTGAGCTTGTATACTTTTCTGTTTGAGGTACTTCTGTAGTTTTCTAGATATTGATTAAACGCAGAAGAGCAAATCTCATTTGAAATGATACTATGTACTTTTAGAGTTGTGAAAAGTATTCATAAGACATTTTTGTGTCCACAGATAATCCAAATTCAAAATACACTTGGAGATTAATTGATGACTCCATATTTCTAAAGTCTTTATCATCAGACAGTGAGTACAACTGCAGTGTTACAGTACATTTTTTTGAAAAGAACTTCACCAAAGAAATCAAAATAACCACAGATTATGATGGTAAGTATAATGCTTATTTTTGCTTTACATTCCATATATTTCTAGAAAAACCCATAAGGAATTCCACTCTTTTCCTGAAGATGAAGATATTTGTGCGACATTATGCTCAGCCAGTCTCAGTTTCTCTGCCAGCTCCTGCCACCCCCATCTCATGTCCTTTGTATTTTTTGACCATAGTCACAATTGTCTTTTCCTTTTCTAGCCCCTGGCTCAGACCTGCAGTCTGAAGCCATTCTCTCCTTCACTCAGAGATCAACTTTTTTTTTTTTAAGGGAGAGAACTTGGCTTAATGTAAGCAGGTTTCAGTGAATCATATCATAGAATTGCCTGGGACCTTAAAGGGACCTTAAAGATCATCTAGTTTCAACTCCCCTGCCATGGGCAGGATTGCCAACAAGTAGACCAGGCTGCCCAGCACTTGAAGGTGCAGGCCTAGCCTGAAACGAGAGTTGAATTCTGGGTTTTGAGGAAAGATATGATAGAATGATTGCAAAAAATGTCTCCGTAGAAAGTGACACGTTTTTCTACAGCATTGCCCTTGGAGATGGCTAAATGGTTTAGCTTTGTTTTCTGAATTAACAGAAAATCACCCTAAAACATGTAACCTATTAATAAAATTTCAGGATAAAAAAAATATACATATGGTTAAAACTCTCAGGAATTTAAAATATTTCATTTTAACTGGAAGTGTTGGAAAATTTTAGTAATATATGGTATTGCTGTATTCATCTGTGTCTCAAATTTAATAAATTTATGAAATTTCTCTGATTTTTATGATTTTGTATGTACTCTCTTTATAATTATGTATAATTTCTCTGAAGGAAATGTGCTATGCAAAATGTTAAATAATATTGGTATGTTGTGTACTGTTTAACGAAATTTAATTTGATCAAAGTAGATATAAAAAGGAGTATTTTGCACTTTCATTCAAACTTTTTCTTCCTGTCACATTTTTTCCAAACAGCTCCAAAAGCACCAGAAAATCTTACGGTACATCCTACTGCCACAAAAGTAACTCTTACGTGGATGAAACCTGCCAACACATCAGAAAACTATGTAGATGGCTACATTGTGATGTGCAATGACACTGTTAAATGTAAGTATTGCCACTTTGTCATAGAATAATTGCATGCATATTTTAATATTTACAAAGCACTGAGCATGATGCATTTTCCAAATGTATTTCTTAAACCTGTCCAGTAGAAACAATTAAACATATTGTTTGTACAAACATATTTATACATTTCTTTGAGTTGAGCTGCTCCACTTCAACAATGTGGTGTATTTTATCATTTTATCATTTCAGGACATCGTCTGTCACACTTCAGTTCTCTGTGTCTTGCAATATAAATGTCCCGATGGGATCAGTTACCTGATAGGTTTTTAGCACAGTACTCTCTGCCTCAGAAAATGCACCTACAGCTTGTTAATATATTTACTGAGAAGATACATTCCTATTTAGAATTCTAATTTTTAACACATCAGAAATTTGTGAGAAAGTGGAATCATTTTTATTTTTATTTTTCCCTAGGGAAAAATCTACTTTTTAGGGAAAGGCTAAGAACCTTTGTGGGTAGGTTGTCCTAAAGCAGCACTAAACCTGTTTATTCCTTCAAGGATGATAAACAGAATTGAACTTTTAAGAAGGACTACAGATTTGTGACTGCTTACTGAAATGGTAGAAAGAGCCTGATATGTTATTTCAGAAAATAAATGTCAAATTTAGATAGTAATTAAAGTGGAAGTGCATAACAGTGGATTTGCATAACTCTGATGAAGTGCAAGAGATTACATGCATAAATCTTAATTTCATTTTTCTTTTTTAAGACGTTACCATGAATCAGACCAACTTTACTTGTATTGATTTAGAACCTTATACTGATGTCTCTGTGTCTGTAAAAGCATTTAAAAACAGCAAGTGTGGGAATGAAATCTTTTTGGGACATCCAGTGAAAGTCTGCTTGAAAACACAACCAGCAAGTAAGTCTCATTTGCCAATTGTTGCAAACAAGGCTGACACTAACACAGGAAGTACGTAATTTCTTATTGTACTTAATTGCAATTTTATGTATATTACTACTATTCAGCCATAAAATTATTAACATTACTATTTTAACTAACATTTATATCAGTAGTGTTTCATTTTTGATTATTTAATATGATTTTAATTAAACACGGTATATTTTTATCCATACTAGACTTTTTTTTTTTTTTTTAATTGCATTCATTTGAAATTTGTGACAAGAGCAGAAGAACCTTCCCACCAGATTTCGAATATATTTCCTGATGGAGACAAGGGTTAATACAGACATCACTGCTTCCTATTTTGGTGGTGGTAGTGATGGGTTGATTGATTTTTTCCCCCAGGGCTCAAAACTGAGCACAGAAGTCAAGGTGTGGCATCACCACTGCTACATAACCTGATGGAATACAAAATTAATATTTCCTCTGGCTGCACAGAATCAGAAAAAATACTTAATAGTGAAAAATATTATTTTTGTGCTAGTGTTGTTACAATAGCTTAACTTGGTGTGCTTTTTTGTGTATGCGTGTTTGATTCTGTTTGTTTTTTTTACTGTTATTGTTGCTTTGTGAATATCACCAAATCTGGCTGCTGTTTTTATTAATGTGTTTCTGTAGGCTTTTGGGAAGTATTTCAGGCAGGCTGTTCTTTTGAATTTAAATTCCATCTCTCTCTTTGGGATGTTGGGAGTTTTGCATCTAGTTTTGCATATTATTCGTGAAAGCACTGGAATCTCTCTATTACTCTGGGTCATTTTCATAACACATTGGAGCTTATACGCACAAGAATATAAAGATGAAAATTATCACTTGAAGCCCCATAGGGCTAAAACAACATCAACAAATACTGATGAATGAATTGAGTGATAATGTAATGTGTTTGATGTGAGACTTAAGAAAAACTGAAAAATGACTGTTTTTTTGAACAGTCCTAATTATAGAATGATCATAAATTGTTCAGTCATTTGTTTGTTTAAATTAAGACTATAGTTTGAAAACTTCTGAATTTTGGAGCTCCTACTCTCTTGGGCTCCAGTCATGTTTTAATATATCAGGTAGGGATTGTGGTCCACCATATATTTAAAGGTCCAGGAAAAAAAAATCCTGTATTATTCATGAAAACTAGAATTTGATTGTTTTCACAAATTTGTGACACTAAACCTTCTCCAGCTGCTACAACAGATGATAACAAGATGATCAAGCAGATACTGTGAGAGGTTTTTTTTGATTTCTTGAACAGGAGAACATGTCATTAGAGCACAGCTCCTAGGGAATAGGAAAAGCTACAATTTGGAAAACAGTTTTCCATCTTCAACATGCACATTCGCACAAGAAATGCTTGCTTTCTTCTTGTCCTAGTTCTTTTAGCAGCATTCTGAAAGTCACAAATGTGCCCTGTGGATAAAAGTGAATCAGGAACCACAGCCCATCCAGTGAAGCAGTGTGTCCTGCTGCCCCCCAGATGAAATTCAGTCTGCTCATAAAGCTTCACACACCTTAACTCTCCATACAAAGAAAAAACAGCTGCATATTTATACTTCTTAGTGTACTGGCTTGCAACTTGGAGTGATTTTTGGAGAAAAATTCCATGGCAGTGTGGCTAATAAAGCTGCCTTATGTGGATGGTTATTTACTGCACTTTGAGGCTTTAACAGCCAGTGAAAGGTCCCTTAGGCTGTGTCCCATTCTTAAATCTTTTGCAGCACAATGCAAAATTAAAGGTAGAAAACATAGATTAGACTTAATAGATTTACTAGCATTAAAAAGTAAAAAGTTTTAGGAGTTTTAGAACAATTTGATACTTGAATCCAACTATACTTTTTCACATCAGTTTTGAAACCTATGTGCTCAGGCTGAAAACTTCGTTTGTTCCCATGTTTTGTCCGTTGTCCTCAAATGGGTGACGTCAGAAGCAAAAGATAGTTGCCATATTATTATCTTTGCAGCCCGACTTCAACTGGAGTTCTGTTCCTCCTGGCTGTCTCAGTTCCCTTTGATAGCTTTTTCAGTTCAGATAAGTCCAAATTGATTTCCCAAATTGTTTTTTTTTTTTCATCTTGTCAAATTGGGACAGTGGTTTTTAAGGAAGAAATTGCATAACATTGTTTAGAGAGGTTATAACAAGTAGACGTGAACACATACTGTTAAAATGTTTGGTTTGAAATGATGAGAATGGATCCAGTAACACTTCTTTTACAAACAGAACCAGAGAAAGTGGCTGGCTTCAAACTAAAGTTGGTGGCTGATAATACTGTCAAAGTTGAATGCAGAAGTCAAAAAGTGTATGGAAGTGAAACAAAATTTGAATTGGCTTGGAATTCCAGCAGTGGGAGTGAGAAAAAGAGTAAGAATGAATGCGATTTTACAATAAAAGATCTCTCTTACTTGACAAAATATACCTTTAAGGTAAGTGAGCTTATTTAGCTAAATATAAAGCAAAACTCCTATATTTACATTGTTTAAGTGCATTATTCTTGATTTTAGAGAAAAAGGCAAATCTGGCGGTGGAGATCATCTATGGATCTGCAGGCAGGAGATGTAAACAAGTAGCTGTTACTTATGAAATAACATGTCTCTGCATATGTTTCTAGTTGTATCAATCAAGCCCTTACCTGCTACTCCATATAGGTTCAGACAGCATGCAACCTACAAGCTGAATAGCTTGGGACAGAGAGAAAAAGATATTTTCTGTAAAGAAAATGAAAAAGGAGGGATAAATGTACAATAGTATCAAAGACATGAACATATCTAAACAAAGCTGGTATTTTATTTAACAGTTAAAGTAATCAAAAGTTAATATTTCTAGAAAGCAAGTTTTTAACAGTTGTCTTCGGCTTTTGTAATTTAACCTTTTATGAATAAATTCCAGCACAGTAACTGGCTTAGAAATATCCATATCAGTTTACTATTTATGTATTTGGTATTGAAGCAAATAAAATAATGATGCTTCATTGCACATCGTTTGGTTTCTCTTTCAGATTTGAGAGATTTGATTAGAGAAAGAATATATTTGTAGATGCATCTGTCTTTGACTTTGTAAAATGTCTTCTATTTCATTAACATTGCCATTCAGTTAAACAGTTATTTCTGGGTCAAGATCTTGCTGTAACTTAACTGGAAACATGAGATGCACTGTAACAGGCTGTCAATGAGATTGATATTCATTGGAAATAGATATATTTGAAAGACCTACAAATTTTTTCTTTTTAAAGAATTGATGCAAGCATTTTTACTTGGCGTATCTGAACATTTTTATTATTCTCACCCACTGTATGCAGATCTCCGTGAATAATGGATTTTATACAGGAGACTCAGTATGTGAAGAAATACATACCAGATGTAAGTAAAAACATGCAGCATCTTTACTTCTTGACTTAAGTGTAGTATGGAGTAATGGTATAAATTCTGAATTTTGTTACAATCTGCCTATTTGTATAGGTAATAATTAACTGCATTTAAAAAAAAATCCTTCTTCAACATTAATGTAAAAGACCATGTTGACAAGTCATCAAACACAACTCAGAATACCTACACAGCCGTGGCTTCCTCATGCGTGCATTTAGAAATTCATTTGTCTGACTTAAATCGATCACTTCAGAATTATTTTCCTGTATTCAGATGTCGTGTTCCAAGAGCTGTGTTTTGTGAGGGAATCCCCACTCCCATGGAGTGTGTGTGTACAACTCCAAATATTTTAAGAAACTTAAAGTATCGTAGGCATGAAAAGTATAGTAGACGAGATATAAATAAAGAAGAACTTTATATATTATTGAACTAAAGTAACTTATTTACATGGAAGACTTTTCCCACTGCATCTTTCTGGGAGGTGTCCCTCCGTGTCTGTCAGAGAAGTCTTATCAACTGTCAGAGGCACAGGGAACACGTCAGTGATCTCCCATGTAAGATATCCTGTTTTGAGTTCAATTCAAACTGATGGTTGGATTAAAGGAATTGGATAAATGGGATAAATGACTTTCTCATTTGAAGAATATCTGTTACTAAAGTTTCTTGGTAGAGCTCGCAAGAGCTGTCATTAATTAAAAAAAAAAAAAAAAAAAAAAAAAAAAGGATAAAAAGAGGTGAATCAAGAGATCAGTTGAGGAACAGAAGTTTTTCTGACCAACTACCCAAGACTTCACATGTTTATTTGTGTAGTGAGCAGATGATGACAGGATGGGCCATCGTGCACAGGGAGGCTGCACTTGGAGCAGCTGCGGCCCTGGGGTTGAGGTCCCCCGTTCCCACCACTCACACGCTCAGTGAGCGCAGCATGCAGACCAGGGCTGTGCCAGGCTGGTGAGCTTTGGCATTTTGACAGGTGGACATGGAGGACATCAGTGAAAGTTTTCATAATGAGGAAGAAGTTGTTCCCTCCTTTTCTGTGAGCTTAACATTTTTTGACCTTGGAATAACAAACCTAAACTTAATATTTAAAAGTAAGTACTTAGTTGTTTACACACGCACACACACAAAAAACTTGCCCTGGTTTGTATATATACTTTTTAAAATTAAAAAAAAAAAGAAAAAATAGGAAACTTATATACTGTTAATTATTTATCTGAGGAATAATGTATTTATTCTTTGCCTGTCTCTAGATAACTCGAGGGCCCTGATTATATTCTTGGTGTTCTTGATTGTTGTGACATCAATTGCTTTACTACTGGTTCTGTATAAAATCTATGACCTTCACCAAAAAAAGCTTAGGTAAGCTTCGTGTTTCTCTCCCTTTCTTAACAAATATTTTGCTTTTCTTTTCTGTTTCTCAACAATATTTCACAAGCAGTAGTTCGGAAGTGTTAAGGTCTCTAATTTCACTAATCCTTGGCACAGTCATCCATTCATCTTCACATCCTTTCAAAAGAAACTCAGAAACCCTCTTGTCTTGTCTGGCAATGCAAATACAGTGAGAGAGAATTAAAATCTCCCTGGTGTGCCTTTTTATCTGAAACATGGAGGGTTTAATCTGCTAGAAGAAAATGCCTCTCACTATGTGAAAAATATTCGCAAGTTATCTGGAATACCTCTCCTAAATGATTTCAATTATAAGTATTGGAAATGATACACAGTTTCTTGGGACTGTTTTGAAATTGGATTCACCCATCTCAGAGAAATTGTTTATTACAGCCATCTCTGGGTTGACTTTACAGGTCTGTAGGATGGTGTATTGGGACAGGACAGCTATTGCCTTCCCTTAGTACTGTGCTAGAACACCAGGCTGACTGCTGCTTCTGCTGGGAGGGGTGCTGTGCAACATGTGAGAGGACATTTACTGCTGGCACGGAAGGAGGACTTAGAACAGTTTCTTCAGAAATCTCTTAGCCTTCAAGCCACAGTAAAACCAGGGAATTCATCTCTGCTAGATCCTCTCATGTTTTCTTTTTCCAGTAGGAGGACAGGGAGCTGCTCTTCCCCAGACTCAAACTTTTCTAATACAAGAATCAAAATCAATTTTCGCTATATGACTTCAGAGGAGGTTGAGTTGTTCTGTGTTATTTTAGTACTTAAACTTAATTTTCTTATTATTAAATTTTACATTTTGCGTATGTGTAAGTTTTCTGACACATGTTTAACAAGAGGAACAAAGGTGGTGTGAGAAGTCACTCCAGTCAATAAATTAAAGATGTTACCTACTGGTGATAAAGACAGAATTGTGCAAGCAGTAACACTTTGTGATGCAGCTCCCTTGTTTCTCCCCCTTCTAAGTGCTTAATGCAGGACAACAGAGATCCTGACCACATCTGCCCAGGGGCTGTCAGACTCAGCTGTAGCATTCTTGTTTTAAAGTGAGCTTGTAATGCTGTCTGTTGGTTACTGAAAAGCCTTGGTGTTCTTGTGCGAAACTGCATTTATTTAACCTGTTATCAGATATGTGTCATACCAGTCAAAGCTTTTACAGATTCTTTTGCCTCTTACAGCAATTCTTCTGAAGTCATCAGCCTTGTAGGTGGTGAGTATCTTTATATAACAGATGGAAATAAAATAAGTCAGATCTCTTACTGCCAGTTTTGAAATGTTTGCATTCTGGGTTATAAATGTAGTTTGCAAATATTAGCATGATATAATGTAATTCATGGGAATTTAGGAAAAAAAAAAAACTTGAGTGTTTTTGGTACATTGAAATACTGAATTTCAAATATGTTTCAGAAGTATTTATACTTAAATGAACTAAAAGTTTATTGGTTTGAAACACTCTCATTTATTATTTCATTGAAAAAACAATTGTCTCTGACAACGGTCATCACCTTTGTAACCCTGAAAGCAACTTCAGAGTCAAATATTGCTTCATCTAGAGTTTTCCTTCCCAATTTACCTTCTTCAAAGCAAGGATTTTAACATGAAGCAGTACTTTATCACTGTAAATTTTTTAAGGCTTTCAAATTCCGGAGACTGAAACTAGACAGTGTGTGCAACCTTTTGTACCGGATTTCAAAGCTTATGAGGAAGATGAAATCAGTGACTACTAGAGAGCTTCAAGAAAAAATCATTTATTGCATTTAAGCACAGAAAAATTGATTATTATAGGCCACTCCTAAAGTAATGTTTCCTATATGTTTTCATGGAAACAACAGATATAAGGAGTACAATAACACTGTTTGAGAGAGCAAATTCTCAGCTACAAAGTACTGTTTTTCAACACTGTCACTACAACTGGATGTGTGTTTTCAAGAGCCTGCATTCTGCACCAGTGGAGGTGACACACTATTGCTCTTACCACTGCTGAAATGCTCCACCTGCTGCCTTTCTGTGCTCGCATCCACTGTTCAATCTCCAGAAATGTTCAGCATGTGTCAGTGAATGTCATTGGGTGCCATTGTTCCCCTATGGCGGAATTCAGTGACACATCTTTGCTTCAAACACGTTTCCATGTCAGATGCCATTTTGTCAGATTGCCCCTCTGCTGCCATTTGTCACACAGCAACAGCATGTTGCTGGAATATTGGTAGGAAGGTCCAACCTCTACTGCCATACCGCCATCATCCACCTCTGACATCGTGGGCCAACATTGTGAAATGAGAGGCATTACTTTCGGAGCAGCCCTTGTATTAAATGGGACATTGTACAATATTGATATTCAAATCCATTTGTTCCAACTCATTGCTTAAAGAAATCTCTGAAGCAGAAGTGAAAAAATATAGTTAGAGATGTTAAGCCTTGTCATTCATTGTCATTAAACATAATATTACAGATTATTACAACGGAATCTGATGGAGGATATGTCAGAGAAAATTGGGAAAAATAGGCAACATGTCTTGTTATATTTCAAGAGAAATGTTAACAGGCTGTGTATACAGTAATTCAATTTACCATTGCCAATAAAGAATTAGAACACCCACGTAACTACGGTGGGTGTTTGGGCAGTCTGTTGCGCTGACCCAGGTGTTACAACCGCCACTTTGTAGAGGAGCGCTGCTCAGGCAGGAGCCCCGCACACGCCCTGCTGGTGCATTCTCAACTCTACAGCAGAGCTAGGCAAGTTCTGTTATTCCTGGGACCTGTTTCCTTGTAGATCGCCTGAGGGACACCAGTTCGTGAAAAATTAACGTGCTCAGTTAAAATAAATGGGTTTGTCCTTTTGTTAATACAGCTGACAGTTTGAGAATCACATTTGCTGAAATGTAATTTGTGTTTTAAGAGCCAGTAAAGATAAATGTTCGACATATTTACACAGTTAAAGATGATGAAAGGCAGCTTTTGAACATAGATCCAATACCTTCAGAGAAATTGTTGGAGACATACAAGAGGAAGATTGCTGACGAAGGAAGACTTTTCTTGGATGAATTTCAGGTTTGTGACTGGCTTGAAATATACCACAGATTTGTGGCCAGGTGGTGGGAAGAATTCTTTTCAAGAGCATTTCTGAAGTATATGCACTGCTTACAAATAAAACCCAAAGAACAGACACCTCAGTGAATTCTCATCAAAGGTCAAATAAGGCTCCAGCTAATTTTTCTACTTACTTCTCCTCATTGCTAGATCATATTACAATTTTTCCTTTTCTTTCTGGAGGTGTTTTTCAGCAAAAGTATAAAATGCATAGTTTAAAAATTATCTAATTCAAAAGTGCTTATCGAGGTAGATTTTCTCTAGTCTCTCTTACTGTGTAGGCTTGGGGATATAAATAATATTGTGGAGATATATAACGAAAGAAAATAAATGTCATGACTGTTATAAATGACAGAAATATATGAAATAGAATTGTATGAAACAGAATGCTGTCTTCCAGATTCTTAGCAGTACCAAATGTCTTCTGTATGTATTTGGTGGTAAACAGAAGCTATTTGAAGTATGTGATTACCAGTTAAATAAACATTGTGATTTACAGAGCATACCAAGAATTTTCACTAAATTTCCAATGAAGGAGGCCAAGAGGAGCCATAATCAGAACAAAAACCGTTACATCGATATTCTTCCATGTGAGTATTTTTACAGTTTTTACGTGGTGTATTAGTGCCTCTTTTCTCAGTTCCTTGTGAGAGTATAATTATTTTGTTTCAAATAATTTAAACAGATGATCATAACCGTGTTGAGCTCTCTGAGATTCCAGGAGACCCGGGATCAGACTATATCAACGCGAGTTATATTGATGTGAGTGAGTTTTACATGTACAAAATTATAGGCCTTCCTGAAGAAATTTTGAGCCTATGCATTTCATGTGTTTGAAGAACACAGCTTTGAAGATGTCCTCATGTGTTCGTTCCATTTTTACAATGTATTTGAGATTATTGGACTGTTGCATATGGAATTCATTTTTAAAGTTACAAATCTTATTGGTCATGCTTTTTTCTTTTTTTTTTTTTTAAGTTGAATAACATTGTACATTTTAATAGGGCTTCAAAGAACCAAGAAAATATATTGCTGCACAAGGTAAGTTTAACCTTAAATTACCTGTTTTATTCTTTCAATCACTTTTTTTTAGGGAGTAGTCAGAAAGTAAACTTAAAGTAAATTTAAGGAGGAATTGGAACTTTGACATTTTAAAATTTAATGAGAAAATGCCTCCAGTAAGTTTTAGCTTAGAGAATTTTGTGATGGTGAACAAGTAATATGTTAGAGGTAGACTTCTGATGATACATAACTTTACAGCAGGAGTTTTCACATTTCACAGCCATGTATTGAAAACGTATGAAAATTTTAAAGTGTAGCATAATGGCAGCAGCCCTTATAAAAGCAAGTCTGTGGCTGTTATTTGCATGGTATCTGTTTAGCTTTTCAGACTGCAGGGCTAACATCAAGGCAGCTTTTGAGTAGCTGTACTCTGAAAAAATGCCTTGAAATATCACACAGTCACAGATCGTAGGGGTTGGAATGGTCCCATGGAGATCATTGAGTCCAACGCTCTGCTAAAGCAGGTTCCCTACAGCAGGTTGCACAGAAAAGCATCTAGGCGGGTTCTCCAGCAAAGGAAGCTCCACAACCTCCCTGGACACAATTCCAGTGCCATATATCCCTCACAGTAAAGAAATTTTCTGCCGCTAGGTCCCAAGGATGAAACCACGGATGATTTCTGGAGAATGATCTGGGAACAGAAAGCAACAATTATTGTCATGGTTACTCGCTGTGAGGAAGGAAACAGGGTGAGAAATGTCCATCCATCCATCCGTCCATCTGTCCATCCATCCATCCTTCTTTTGTCTGAAAACAGAATGGGTTGCTATGCTGTGGTGAATTACATTTTCTTCTTAAGTCCTCTGTTTTCATTTTTTGTTGTTCTGGCTTTGTCAAAACCTATGTTGGATAGCATGCCAAACCAGTGTTAACATATGGAATTATCACTTATCAGAAAACGTCACTTTATTTATAGCTGTAAGTAGTAAAGGGTGGGCTTCCAAGTAAAGCCCAGAAAAAGGCTTGAGGTAGAATTCTGGCTTTTTGTAGACTTGGCAAAAAATGTATGATTTGCATTTTCCCCTGTCTAGGCTCTTCTGATATTCTGCCAATGCCCTCAGTTAATAATATTTTTTGTATCTACTATCTTTTCCCTTCCGTTAATTGGGAAAGTTGGATGCTTCTGGCTTGCTTATGTTCCTTACTCCACATAGAGCAGGGAAGGTAACATGAGGAGTTTTGATAGCTTTTGAAGATTAAAATGTTGGCAGCATGCAGGTTTAAAGCATTTCTGAGTTGTTTCATCAGCAAGCATGAGCAAAGTTCCTCCCTGGAGGCTGAAAAAGACGCCGTAGAATTAGCAACAAACTCCTCTACAGCCTTCAGGCAACAGCCACAAGGTCTGCATGGAGGTATTCACATTGTCACCTAGTATACGAGATTTTTTCCCACTTTCTGTTCCAAGTTAAATTCCATAGATATTTGGAATTGTTTGGCAGTGACATCCTAATCATTGACTGCCTTTTCAGGGGAGAACAAGACCTATAAGGAATTGGAAAACGATATGAAGTTATTGTCTATTTTAAATCAGACTTTATTCTAGCTCTCTGCTGTCTGCCATTTTGCAGTCATTCTGCTCACCAATTAACTTCATATCTTCATAGAACAAGTGTGCCCAGTACTGGCCATCAATGGAGAATGGCTCTGCAACATATGGAGACATTATTGTGAAGATCAATGAAAGTAAGATGTGTCCAGACTATATAATTCAGAAACTACACATCACAAATGTAAGTTGATTTAGGAGGATAAGGCTGAATGGGGTCAGTCTGTAGGTTTTGTTAAGAGATTATTTATAGCATGAGAAGAGTTAGGTAGCAATGGAAGATGCTTTGCTTATGTTTCCCAAGCAACATTTTGTTTAAAAGAGAACTTGACAGATGTGGGTGTCATTTCTTTCAGGAAATGTGAGTTAGACATGTATTTCCCAACTTAAAAAACTATTTTTCATAGTATCTGGACTGTGTTTAAGGGGAATCTGTTAACATGTTAAGTATGGAAAACTTAATACTTCGTGATTTTCTTATAACTTGTTCCTTAATACAGAAACTGGATAGGCATCTCAGCATTATCTTTTGCAGTATCAATGTGACTCATAGGACATAGTTACCTAACTCCATGGTAACTGTACAGTAGTTGCAAAATTTGAGTGATCTCAATATAAATATAAACATTTTAAAATTACCATCTACCTATGTGAAGAGTCAATAAGCATGGTTAACTGCTCTCTCTTTACACATCTGAAATACATTATTTCCTCTATGAGTAACTGAGGAAAAAAAATTACCATGTTAGGCTAAATGCTTCTCTCATGCTAGTAAATTTTAGCAAGGGCAAATGGAACTTAATTCACAGATAAAAGCATTAAAACTCAAAGAGTAATTCTACTGAGATATCTTGAGCAGAAGAATCAAGCAAATCCACCCATCTTGAGTCATTATTTCAGCTGGAAATTCCTCCTCTTCTCTCTCATTACATTGCAATGATGCAAAAATTGCAACTTAGTAAGGTATCATGATGTAAATAATTGCTCTGTGACTAATCTTAAAAGGAAAAAATTGCAACAGGATGAGAACTATGGCTTTACTGTGTCTATTTCTTGTATGGTCTGCAGTTAAATGTATATTATTTTGTTTATATGTTATTATTTTATTTTATTTATTGTTCTTAATCTAAGGTGCCCTCAGCAGACTACTTCTCGGAGACATGAGAGAATTACTAACCGATATCACTTGAAACAAGGAGAGCTATAAACTAAGTTATTCATGAATGGAATGGGGAAACATATTACACCCTGGATCTCTGGCTATTCTCTGACTAGCCTGAGAATAATATATTTGTAACACTTTGAACCTTTTGCTTGTCCTCTGTTCAAGTCATTGTGAATTCCTGATTCACAGCTCTTGACTGTTATTTTTTAATTAAAGGTGAATATGAAAAATGTTGTAACCTGAGAGGCTGCTGGGAGCCTCACATGACACCAAACTGTCAGAAATTTCTGTTTCAATATTTGATGACTTTTGTCCTTATTTTTCTTTTGCTTTGTGTATCTGCATTTGATTTTGGCTTTTCATAAACACACACGCACACACACATATATATATATGTAAAGTCATACTTCTCTTTGTCCAGGGAAGAGAAAGAACATCTGGAAGAGATGTAACTCACATTCAGTTCACCAGCTGGCCAGACCATGGTGTTCCTGAGGATCCACATCTCCTTCTCAAACTCCGACGCAGAGTGAATGCTCTCAGCAACTTTTTTAGTGGCCCAATAGTGGTTCATTGCAGGTAAATCATAAAAATTGATAATGATTATGTTATGTTAAATGAATATGAAGTTAAGCTATTCACAGAATGGAGCTAGCAAAAGTCAAAAGTAATTGGCTTATGCCAAATTTTGTGCAATAATTACTTGAGAGGAGGTAGATAAAGATGCAAAGAAAAGCTTTTTTTTCTGGTGAATCATTCTCTATTCAAATTGACTAAATCTGAGGATATGTAGACTTTTGAAAAGCAGCCAGGTAAATGCTGCACTATTCTGTCTATAAGCACCATGATTGACAGAATTGACCTTACTGTCACTGCAAAGCATTTAAAACTCAGTCTCATCATTTTTAGCATTGCAATTAATTTCCAGCGAGAATTGTTTTCACTTTTGCTCTCTTGCTGACTGCTCCTCGCTCAGGGAAGGACTCAGATATGCCTGTTTAATATCTTTCTCGATGATCTGGGTAGGAGAATTAAGAAAACCTTCATTAAGTTTGAAGATAACACCAAACTGGGGGGAAGTGTCGATCTGCCTGAGAGTAGAAAGGTCCTACAGAGAAATCTGGACAGGCTGGATTGCTGGGCTGGGGCCAATTGGATGGGGTTCAACAAGACCTAGTGCTGGGTTCTGCACTTTGAACACAACAACACCATGAAACATGACAGGCAGAATAGCTGCAAAGCTGCGCAGAGGAGGATGTGGAGATGTTAGTCACCAGTTGACTGAACATGAGCCAACAGAGTGTGTCCAGGTGGCCAAGAAGGCTTGTGTCAGAAATAGTGCAGCCAGCAGGAGCAGAGAGGCCTCTGGTGAGGCTATATCTTAAGTGCTGTCTTCAGTTTTCGGCCTCTCACTACAATAAGGACATCTGGAGCGTGTCCAGAGAAGGGCAACAAAGTTGATGAAGGGTCTGGAACACAAATCTTCTTGGGAATGGCTGAGGGAACACAGGTTGTTCAGTCTGAAGAAAAAGAGGCTTAGGGTGGGACCCTTATTGCTCTCTATAACTGCCTGAAAGGAAGTTGTGGCAATGGGGAGATTGCCCTCTTCTCCTGCATAACTAGCAATAGGACGAGTTGTGTCAGGGGAGGTTCTAATTGGATATTAAGAAAAGCTTCTCCCAAAAAGTGATTGAGGAACAGGTTTCCTGGGGAAATGGTGGAGCCACTGTGCCTGAAGTTGTTCAAGAAACATGCAGGTGGAGTACTTATAGGCATAGTTCAGTGGGCAATATTGATGGGAGGTAGACGATCGGACTAGATGATCTTTGAGGTCTTTTCCAACCTTAATGATTCTTTGATTCTGTAATAACCAAATCTCTTTTGCACTTTGCAGTGCTGGAGTTGGGCGCACTGGGACCTACATTGGAATTGATGCTATGTTGGAGGGGTTGGATGCAGAAGGCAGAGTGGATGTTTATGGCTACGTTGTGAAGCTGCGCCGGCAGCGATGCCTCATGGTTCAAGTAGAGGTATCTTACTAAAGTACCTTTCACTTAAAACTCTCTTTTACTAGTTCTTGATCTGTATTTCTGAGAACTGCTCTGCTCAGTTATGGATACTGCTAAAATTCAGGTGAAGACTTTCATACAAAATACAGCTTTGAAAAAGGGTGAGAGAACTTCCAGCAAAGTTTTTTTTTAGTTTAAATTTAACAAGTTTAGGCTTGCTGAGTTTAGATGCTAGAGAAAGGGGAGAGTTACTTTTTAGATTTGATAATCCAGCTTTTGACATGCAGCTCATAAGTGCAAGTGCAAAAAAGCAGAGTTGAACTTGCATAATCAAATAAATTTTGTATTGAAGAAACTGTCTAGCAGGATTTTCAGTTAAGTTGAGAGTACAATGGTAGGCTTAATGGGATGCATGTTTTTAACTCATTTCGTTTTGTCCCCCTGATCTTTCAAATCTTAATTGCACGGTTTTTTATTGATGTGGCATTTATTTGCAGGATACCTTTCATCCAACACATTGCGTGCTCCAAAATATTTAACTTGGAAGCCCCTATGATTTTTTGAATGTAATGGCTGCTTAATGATAATGTTTAATGTTATTACTACTTACAACGTAAGAAATAGTGGTTGGTAGTTGTTTTTAAAATAATGGTATAAATTTGTTTACTCATAATTTCATTTTTAAACTTTTCAAATGGTTAACACCAGTCACAGTACATCCTTATCCATCAAGCACTAGTGGAATACAATCAGTATGGAGAAACAGAGGTCAGCCTCTCAGAACTACATTCCTATCTTAACAATCTGAAAAGAAAAGATCCTCCAAGTGAACCTTCTCTACTTGAGGCAGAATTTCAGGTAAAGAAGCATTGTTTTCTGGTCTCCTAGGCCTTCACTCCCACTTAGGTTTGAAAGTGACTTGCGCAATAGCCACAAGAAAGAGATAACATATATAATAGATCACTTCTGTGATAATATTTTTAATAAAGATTAGGGGCATAGGATGATTAGTTGCGTCTGCATGCATATTTTCCATGTTACTGTACTTGTTGGAGTTGGCAATTGTAAGCTATAGTCCAGATGTGACCAAAGTTCATAGAACTGAAGTAAGAATTCAAGGCACAGGGAGATGAGGACAGAATGTGGGTGTTCAGAGGGGACCAAGATACAAGAAACTATTTTTATCTCAAATATAATGTCAAACTTATTTCTTTAGAGACTACCTTCCTACAAGGGATGGCGGACACAGAACACTGGGAATAGAGAGGAAAATAAAAACAAAAATAGGAGTGCCAACACAATTCCATGTAAGTATTTTCTGTGAACCTTCTGAATTTCATCTGTTGTCTTCTTCAAGAAAACCTATTAAATTCTGAACAAACAAGGGCAGTAAATTACCTTACAGAGATGTATTTAAGTTACTTTCCCAAGATTGTAAAATTAGAAACTTCCCCTTGTGATTCGAAGAAGAAATGATTTGTTAAAAATATGAATTCTGGGGAGTGATTTATTTCAAACCAGGTGGTCTTCACTCTGCAATTTTTAGGTGAAAGACTGGCCTTTTTCTGGTTGCTGTTTCCATTAAAATATCAGGAACCTGCTGTCTTTTCTGATGGTGAAAATGAAGAACTTGAACTTGGTGACTGACAAGCTAGTGAAGGATGACAGGCACTAAGCTTCAAAGAGCAGGTTGCTCTCTTACATATAGGGCAAAACTTTGTTCAGTATTTGGATGCAGTGTGCCCCAAAATGTCTGTGGCTTTTAGGATTTGCGCTGGGAAGAGGAAGCCTGACAGGTGGAAACCTGGAGGAGCTTTTCTCAAATCCTGAGTTCTCCAAGGTTGACTTCTGGCATTACCCAAGGTGCAGAAGCTCATAGTGCTCTTCTATCAAACCCCCTTTTTCTGATGCCTCTGGCTTTCTGCCAGGAAGGACACTGCTGGTCATAACGTGTTTTGCAAGGGCTTTTCAGAATCAGTACCCAGTTTCCTGACCCTCCTCTACTAGTCAGAGAGTGACAAATGTACACCTGGTAGCAAGATCCCAAATTCAGAAATGGATACATTTCCTGTGCTCAGCTCTGAGAATAAAGCAAACAAACCATAAGGGAACCCAAGCCACCATGTGTGTGGCCATCTTCACCAGTAATAAAACAGTAGCTGGGATTCCCTGGAGGTGGCAGGAGGGTGATGACACAGAGGGTCAGCCCTGCTCAAATACTGTTATTTGAGCAGCAGTGTGGTGTAACTGTGACTCTGTCTCATGCAGATGACTTTAACCGAGTGCCAATCAGGAATGAAGAGGAACAAAGTAAGGAGGGCGAACACGACTCAGAGGACTCCTCAGATGAGGAGAGTGACTGTGAAGAATCAAGCAAATACATTAATGCTTCCTTCATAACTGTATGTATATAGAGGGTCCTCTGTAAGTAACTCACAAGGAAGATTTGATTGCAAATCAACTTTTAATTTTAGTAATAAAAATATTCTAAACTTTGCTACAACATACTTATCCATATTAATATTTTCTCTGCAAGTGAAATGTGATTGTTATTCACATATACAAAACTGTGCTAGTAAAGTTTGGACTATCAGCTTTACGGTGACGTATTTACCCCCAAGGAAGAGAGCCATTATCTGTCACTTATGAAAATAATGGATGTTATGCAATTAGTAGGTAAATTAGATTTATCTGTATTCTTTAAAATGTGACACTTACATTTCTATTTCTACACTGTTTCTATTAAGTGTAAACTTAGTTTTACTCTTGGTAGGTTAATGTGAACTTGTGGCATACTAACTCTGTTGCAATAGTGTAAACTTTATTTCTTATTGATCCAATTAAACGGTTCTATCGAATTCAATATTTGTTTTAGCCCTGAAAAAATATGCTTTGTAGGTAATGGCACTGTGAGACCTCACTCACTGTAGCATGCATGCATCTTGTTGTCAATCTGGAAGTAATACTTTGGAATTCATACTGCGATTTTGCTGTCATTTGACTCTGTAATTCTTGCAAAGTTGTTGCCTGCTGTGATGGGCATATTTTCCCAATGACCAAAAGAGATAATTAATTTAGTGCTCTTTAAATGACAATGAGTTCTGTTGCATGGCAGTCACATTTGAAATGAATTTAAGGGAAAAAATATTTTGCATTTCTTTTGTAGGGTTACTGGGGTCCAAAAGCTATGATTGCAACGCAAGGACCACTGCAGGAAACTATCTCTGACTTCTGGCAAATGGTATTCCAAAGAAAAGTCAAAGTCATTGTTATGCTGACAGAGCTGAAACAAGGGGATGAGGTAAGGGCGACATTTTCTCATATTAAAGGTCATCTATATATAAAGAAAATACTGACCTGCACTCTCTTATTCTCTTCTGCTTTGAAGAGAGCGCATTCTGTAAGTGAACGTGGAAGATAAAATATAAAGAAGTTTATACAGTAAGCACTAACTTGTATTTTTATCTATTTTAGGAACTCTGTGCACAGTACTGGGGAGAAGGAAGACAAACATATGATGGCATAGAAGTTCAAATGACAGATGTCAACTCTTGTCCTAGCTACACCATACGCGCATTTGATGTCACACATCTGAAGGTAGAAGTTTCCTTGCAAATTACGAAAGGGCGTTTTACATTTGTTCTTCTAATTATAGATCTAGCCCAAAGAGAGAGTAGGGGCAGTTCCCACCACTTATACCTTCTGCTGTAAAAAATTGAAGTATTTTTGTCTTCTAGACCAGCTGCTAATTACACTAAATGTGACAAATTGCCTCAGATTTACCATTTAGCTCATTGCCAAGAGAGTGGTAGCAGAGTCCCAGGAGGTCAGTTATCTTTTGTACTTTGAGCAAAGCTTGGTCCTCTCCCTACCTCATAATTACATAAAGGCAGAGCTCATATCACAATGTACTTCCCCAGGAATGTAGGTTTTCTTTTGTGTATCAGCTGCAATGGATGTACTGCTACATGAACCTTTTCTTTCAGCCTGACCATTAACTACATCTCCACTGCTGTTTTGCAGAGGAAAGAAACGCAGAAGGTGTATCAGTATCAATATCACAAGTGGAATGGATTGGATGTTCCCGAGGACCCCAAAGATTTAGTTGATATGATTCTAAGCCTTAAACAAAAAGTGCCAGCCAGAGCAGCCTCTGAGGACAACAGGAACAGCCGCACTGTCCCACTTGTCATCCACTGCTGGTGGGTCTTGACTCAACACATACTTTAACCTGCCTCTGAGGCTTGGGTATGCTTCAAAACCACAATTTTGTGGTAGCTACCTTTTCCCACAAGCCTTTCTGTGGCTTGAAGGAGAGACTCAGCTATCCTTAGGATGTTCTTTTCAGCTCAGAATTGACCTTTTTGATTGCAGTACTGTAAGATGAGTGCACTTCTCTTCAACAAGCCTGTATGGGGTAGGTGATTAGAGCTAGCTGCTTTTACCTGATATGTGTATTTTGAGAAGTGCTAGCTCAGAGTGCTCTTATAGTGAAATAATAGTGAGGATCCAGCAGAGTATTTAGTTTATCCCAGTGCATAAGTTGGCTTTTTTAGGACCATTTCTAGAAATAAAATAACCTTGCATACTATCTTAAAAGGAAGATAATTATGCTAATCATTGCTGAGCCTGTAAGTCTGTTACTTCTAATTTCTCTCTGATATACTAAATGGCCACATTAATTCAAGATATAATCTAAAGAAGCTGTGTCTTGTGTGTATCCTACAAATATCCTTAATTGTCACAATTTCTGTCCAGTAAAACACCTTTCAGATATGTAATTCTTTTTATAGACCTTGAAATAAAGTTATTGTTTAATAAGAAGTCTTATTGATTTTACATTTTAAGAAGGTGCATTTTCTTTTAGTGATGGATCACAGCAGACTGGTGTGTTTTGTGCTTTGATGACCCTCTTGGAAAGTGCAGAAACTGAAGAAGTAATAGATGTTTTCCAAGTAGTAAAAGCTCTTCGTCGCAGCAGGCTGGGAGTGGTCTCTACCTTTGTAAGTAAATCCTGTGAAATAACAGGACTAATCACAAGGCTTCTCATCAGTCAAATATCCTCCTAACCATATGTGTTGTTTCTGCATAGGGAACACTAATTACAATCAGAATATGAACAGCCACTTACCACTACTTTAGAATTGGCCATTACTGATAAAAATAAAGCAGTCTATGCTGTAATTGTAGCAGCAGTCCAAAGCTGGAATTGTAAAACAGATTACGGAAGGATGCATGTTGTACAATTACAAATAGCATAAACTGGTGTTTCTGCAGCTGCCCAAAGGACATGCAGGTACAGGGTCCTTTGGCTGAGTGCTCAGGGGGCTAACTCCATCGCACAGATTAGGAGTCACCAACTTAGTTACTTTAAATCACTCAAGAGGTTTTGGATCTCTGTGGCATTTGCTGGTTTACTAACAAACCAAATGGTTTTGTCAGTATGGTGCAGACTGTAGATAACTCTTCCAGAGTCTTCACAGTACAAGTTGTTTAATGCTTAGATACTCTGAAGAATGTGCTTTGGTGACTTCGCTTTGTAAAGCAAAAGTGCAATGCTTGATGCATCTGATAAAGGCAGCTGCAGAGATATTACATACACATGAAATTGGGATATACCATAGAACCACTGTCCTCTCTGCCAGAAGCTGTGGAATCTGCTTCATATACGGTCCTGCACGTCCAGCTATGTGCTACATGTCTAAAATTTTAAAGAAGTAAGAATGAGATAATCTGTGGGCTCTGTGCATTCCATTCATACTATCCTCTTCTCTTTGTATTTAAGGAACATTACCAATTTCTGTATGACACCATTGCTCGTACCTATCCTGCCCAGAATGGACAAATAAAGAACAGCCAGCAGGAAGATAAGGTTGAATTTTGCAACGAAGTAGAGAAAAAAGATCAGGAAACTGATTTGATCACTATTGACCTTACTCCATCAACTCCAGAGGCAAATGATGCTCCTGAATGTTGTGATGATTTTAAGGCTGCAGACACAAATAAGGGGACAGAAAGTTCTACGAATGGGCCCACAACTCCAGTTTTAACTTAGAAAATTTTTTGGTATTTTCATACCAAACAAATCTTAACCACAGTAAGAAACATGATTTTTTTCCCCCTCCCTTTTGGAGAACATTTATATTGGATTTTCAAAGGTACAAATTTAAAGCAATACTTGAAACTTCTAAAGAGTGACAAAGAACTGTGAAAGTTAAATTTTTTGTAGATTTGCGTCTAATGCTTCAAAAGCCTCCTCACTATCTTTATACTTTTCCATTTTAAAATATGTACAGTGTAATACTATATTCTTATTTTGAGCAGTGGGAAGTTTTTTTCTTCAATTCTCTAAGAAGGAGAAAAGCAAATCAACGCACCATGGCAAGCATGTTGCTAACGCAGCTCTGTGTTCAAAGCTTTCAGCAAGTAGAGCAACATAATGGGTAAGCATGCCTCCTATCATTTCAGGACTGCTGGCTAAGAATTGCTTTAATAATACTCTGAGGAACTTGTGGGACTTTGCCAAAGAATTCAAGATTCTGACCCTCTATCCTCCCAAATCAATGTGGAACAGAAGTTTTGCATTTCTCTGTCTTGCCTCAAGATGTCCTTGTTGCTCCACAAAAATTCATCTGCAATTTCAATATTAGACTCGAAGAAGGGTTTGAGATTTAAATGACTGCAACAGTTCTGACAGAAAACGCATTCTGTTTATTCTTAGAGATGGAAATGCTTGCACATTTATTTCTTATGCTTATATCCTGTGATTTGAAGAGAATACTTCCACAAATGCACATGACTTGTTTTCAGAGCTGGAAAATACTTACATGCTTTTCTCCAAAGTGTAGATTTTTATTAGTACAGGGATTTTATTTTATTTTTGAGATTTTATATGTTATAGCTATGATAATTTTACTGTTTCTTGCTGCATTCTAGCGAATTAGTTAACAAAGTGGTAATTGTTTTCTTCTGTTGAAGTCTCTAAACTGGCCATTTTCTTCTAAAGGCCCAAAATCTTGTTCTATCCAACATGTGGATTTAAAAAAAACCAACAAATTTCATTAGGAAAAGACACCATTAAATTCTTATGAAAATATATGAGCCTGGGCATGTGTCATAATTCTCTCATTACAGATGAACAAAGCTGATTTTCTTCTGCTGAAAGTCGTTAAAGAAACTGTCGCTCAACAGATGTAGTGCCACTTCACTTATCAGTGCATGTTCATAAATTCTCCTTCAAAACAAAATTGAAAATGTCTGGAGAGCTATGTAAACAACTGCGGGGGACCATTAGGTCAGGGACTGAACCAGGGATTGAGCAACTGGTGAAAGGACACGGCCAGCCCTGGGAGCACAGGTGCAAGCAATTCATCCAGGGTCCACCCCTCCCAAACCTCACTGATGGGCTGGCAGCCAGAGAGAAAGCATCTCTACTCGGAGATCACCTTTTTTGGGAGTTTTCAGTGAGCTCTGATCCTCGGAAAGGCATAAACTATTCCTTCTTTGTTACAGTTTGTGATCAATACCTTCCTTTGCTGATCCGAAATGTGTTCAAAAGGCAGTTCTATCTGCCGCCTATCTTTACAACAGTGTACACTGTCACACTGCTTTGGTTAAAACATTAGTTAAATTTTGCTGCTAATATAGATCAAATAATTCATTCACAATTATCAGCTCGATTAAGTGCATCCTTGACAGTTTTGCTTAAGTATGTGGCAGCAATCACAGAGGCAGTGGATTCTTCTCAGCAATGATCCGAATTCTCTTTCCAGCCAGCTCTGTGCTAAATCATTAACAAAGCTCTGGGGGCTTCTGTGATGGCAGGTCTTGAGGAACGCTTTTGGAGATCAAATGAGAAAAAAAAAAGAAGCCTGAGACACTGATCTACTCACTGCGGATCATTGGGTGACAGAGAATACTTCATTTCTGTTTCTTCTTCTAAGATCTGGTTGACATAGAGCCTCTCTGGCTATTTCAGGCAGTATCTGAGTGCACAGACAGAGATCTCCCTTATTTGTAGGAATAACTGCAAATATTTCCCAAATCTTCATCCTGTGTAACTCATTCATACTGGTTCCTTGAAAAACTGTTTGTCAGCCCTTCCAGCAACACTGGGGCTGTAAGCGTTCTGGAGCATTTCATTTTCATTTGGAAGCTGTTTCCTAGGAGGATTCTACTACTTCTCTTGGCTACAGGAAAAATATCAGAAGTTTTCTTTGAGCCGATTTCAGCACTTAGGATCACATTCTTTGTTTTGGAGAGCAAACCTCAGAATGTGGATTTTTTTTAAAAAGTGCACAAAGAGTTGAAGATCGATTTGTGAATGCATTTTCAGTGAAGAATTCCGAACGGTGTGAAATTCTGCTGTATGCACGTTCTTACTAGTCACCAAGACAGGGAAACAGAGCCTTACACTAAAACTGTCCCCACATGCTGAGTGGAAATGTCTTTCAGAGTATAATTCCTGGAGGGTAAACTGAGCTCTTGGCTTTTAATTATTTTCAAATTAAATAATGCTTCACACAATTAAATCTCGTAAAATCCCAATGTGACAATTGAGAGAGCCTGTCTTAATGCAGTTTAGAAGTTCTGATTGCTTGCAAGATCTTGCTGTGCATACACCAGGCTTGTATTTTTTTTTTTGCCTTCTGTGCTGTCACCCGAGTTTCAGAAGTCCACCAGATGGTGACACAGTCTTTGTAGAGGAGTATTCATATGCTGGGACACTGCTTACAAACTCATAGGGGTAAGCTATGGGCATATCTGCAAGTCTTCCAGGAACCCAGTGAAGTGTATTACAGGTGAGGCACAAAGCGCAAACTAACAAGCTCTGCTCATAGGAAACTGACCTGACTTTGTTAAAGCACAACTTCATTGTAGTGGGCTGGATACCTGGTACAGCTCAAACCTGAGAAACAGTCAGGCAAAGTATGATGGAAAACTGTTGATTTTCTCAGGTAGAGCTTAGATGCACAAAAACTGCTAATTGCTGCCTCCAACTAAAAGTTAGTTGTTGTTCAAAAGTATTTTATAATCTGAAATCTAGGCTAAAAATAAGTAAGTGACAGGTGTGCTGGGAGACAAGTTAAGCTAATCAAGGACTGATGTGACCAAAGGGGTTAGATTTCTGCTCAATTTACAGTCTAGAAGGTGATAGAAAAGTGGAAGAATGGTGATGCTATGTTAGTGAAGCCATGTGTGGGAAGATGTCAGAGAGGAAGGGTCCCTGAGCTTTCACAAGCTTCTGTTTGCCGAGGTGAGTACAATGGGATGAGTCATGCATTCTCTTTAGTTTAGCTTTTTATGTTTCTTGTGCTCTGTAACGAACAAAGTAGTTACAGTATAACCTTTTGCAGAGGCTCTATGTTATGACTAACAACTACAGCACAATTTTGAGATGGATGTTGCCCAACACAGAAATATCAGTCCACTGAGTGTGGGACGCTGGCTCAGCGCATGGTGGTTGGGGGCACCTCTGAGGGGATCACAGAAACCCAATTGCTTTCATATAGCCCTCACCCTCCCATCCCAGCTTCTACTGCTGTGTTTGAGCCCTTGCAGGGTACCTTTGTACCTGCTGCTTTTTGCACCCATACTGCTGAATAAAGGCATGGTTTTTGAGCTTTGCTGCAAAACAGGGAAACCAGCTTAAATCTTGTATGAAAAGAAGTGTGTCTGGCACATCCCAGAGTTTCATCTAAGAGCTACGAAAGAAAGTGAAATGCTAACAGTTTGACCCATTTGTTTGTGTGAGATGACAGAGAGGGTAAGAATGAGAAGTGGCTCAAGACAGGTGTTTCATTAAGTTGGAAATTATGTCCTTTTTAAAACTTTCCTCAGAAAAGCTCTCCAGTAGCAATGCTTATCTCTCACACAAGGCATCTTGCTTTTGTACAGGCTCAGTGTTTTTTGACTCTGTACATTCCCCATATTGCCTCTGAAAGAATATCAGAAATTCCCCAAGGGCTCTGCACAGCTGTGCCACAGCCATTTTTCCATACATAGAGTTCCATACAGTTTGCCAAGACCCAGAGTGCTGTGCTGATTTCTGATCACTTTCAAGGGAAACCAAACCAAAAGGAACTTTTTAGTCACAGTACAGTGCACTTCTGTGTGCATCAGCTCTACTTCAGAAAAACATAAGGCTTCTGAGGAAATATGGGACCCAATACATTATAAACATATTGTACAGTATACATAAAAAGGTTTATATAAATGTTTCATAAGTTGATCTTTCAGTGCAAATGAAAGCAAGACGACAACTTCTAAGCTAAACTTCTAAACTAAGTAACTTTGGACCACTTTTAGCATTCAGCATCATGTTTTTTGTTCTGGAGAGCATCCCTCCTGGCTGCCTGCCTGTGCCTCAGCCTGCTGCATTTTCCTAGCCTACCCACCAGGCTGTGCTGGAATTCCTCAAACACCTTTTGCTCTGTTCAGAGCAGCTCAATTTCAAAGACCCGGAGCCACCTGGAGTAATGAGGATGAAATTTTTTTATTCCTACATGTGGATTATGTCTGTCCAAGACCTGATTAGAAGTGTACATGCTGTAACTGAACCGTCTTAGCCTGCCCTGTTTGGTTGTGGGTGTTGTTAATTGCTTTAAAGTAGGATTGCGTTCCCAACACAGAATTCAGTGAATTGTTGATTTGGTAACTCCTCAGGCTGAAAAAGAAAGTAGGAAAGAAAGCAGCGAAATAGTGTCTCTCTACTAATTTCTCTGTGGGGCAATACAGCACAGAGACAATACTGAATTGTGTGGCTGTTGAACTTTGGAACAGTGGTTCTCTAAAGTGACTTTCCAAAAACTTAACCAGAGGTGAGGTGCAATAGACTGCATGCATGCAGAGTAAATCAGTGTTTGCATCAGCATCTACCAAGAAATCAGTTCCCCTTATGCTGCAATGTAAGTCATCTTTCATGATCTTCAACTGCAAAGAAATATGGTTAAAAAAATGATGGTAGTAAATTTTCACTCAAAATTGAAGTTCTTGCCAAATGCAGGCATTTGGCCAGAAGTGTTAGCTTTGATTTGAAAAAACAACAACAACAACAAAAAAAAAAACAGAAAATGAATCATTTTTCATCCAATTTTACTGACATTAACATCATTTGGGAACAACCATATCTTATTCTAACTTTAGCACTGACTTCAGTTTAACTCTCATCTTATATGAAATATTTAAATGTATTCTTTTTAATGTATCATTTTGTCATTGAAAGCACTTGAAGACTAAAACAGCTCAGTATCATTAAAAGTATTTCCGTTTTCCATGCTGATTTTTAACATGTTTTCTATTCAGCAATAAAATGAAATTCTGACTTCATGTATTGATTCAGGATAAATACTCACTGAACAGGAACTCAATTTCTTAAATGGCATTAATAAATTATTCCATAAGGAGCCGCGTCTCCTTCTCAAGAGAGTGAGTGATTGTCACGATCAGACGGTGTCTTGCCCCAGCCGCAAAGGAAAGACATTCTTGAGTGTGCTGGGTAGGAGTGTGCAACCCACTTAGCAGCAGACAGCCCCAGTCTGATCCCCCACAGTCCAGTGAGTCAGTCTGCCTTTTCCTTTGGTAGCTCTTGCTCGAATTTCTGAATTGGATATCATTGAATCGTTAAAGTTGAAAAAACTGTTGTGATCATCTCGTCCAGCCATCAACCCATCACTGCCATACCACTAAACTATTTCACTCAGTGCCACATCTACACCTTCTTTGAATGCCTCCACAGACCATGACACCAGCACCTTGCTGGACAGGCTGTTCCAGTGCCTCACCACTCTTTCGGAGAAGAAACTTTTTACTAATAACCAACCTGAACCTTCCTGGCACAACTTGATGCCATTATCTCCCATCTTATCAGCCTACTGGAATATCCTACCAGAACATTTACATCAGCTTTCTAGGTTTTCTCCCTATTTGTTACATTCATTATTTAATTAACTTGATTAACTTCCAACCCTAGCCCTGCCCTCCCTGTGTTATGAAACAAGTGCACCCTGCATCTACTCTTCCAATGGCATTACACCTCTTTGGATTTACTGGCTGTGCAAAGTTCATGTACCACTTGGGTTGGCGTGCAGGGGCTGA